ATTTATTATTTACTCTGTGTTCCTTCCTTTTTTTTTTTCTTTTTTTTTTTTTTTTTTTTTTTTTTTTTTTTTTTTTTTTTTTTTTTTTTTTTTTTTTTGGGGGGGGGGGGGGGGGGGAGGGGGGGTGAGGCTGCTGGGGATGTGGGCGGGGGGGAAATCCGAGTGTTGTTGTGAACAGCGGTCCTGCACGCGCAGGCTTAATTAACAGAAAAAAAAAGATAAGGGCTATGCAAATCCTTTTTTCCAGTTTCCTAATAAAACAAAAAAGAAGGAAATCCAAAAAAATACAGAGTTTTAATTCTTAATTAAAATTAACCTTCTTAATTTAAGAACGGATTTCGTTTTTTTTATTTCTGAAGAGGACTGGGTAAGAATGCCTAAAATCGATATGAATCGAAAAAGTAGACCGTTTCCCTGACAGTGGTAGTCTCCTTTGCAGTCGTTCTTTGGGTCGTCACGTACCCAACGCTCTTCCCACAGGAGCGTTGTGTGACGACACTTAAAACGGCTGCGCAGGAGACATCACACCAGTTCAGTGATCACATGATAGAGATCTTAAGATTTGAGGACGAGATTCAACTTAAAGTTTTGCCGCGTAATCTCAATAAATATATACCCCAGACAAGACAGACAAGTCAGCACTGTTATTCAGTTTACGGAAGGAGGCTAAGCCTTTTCCCGATCCCAAAATGATGAATGAACTTCTAACTGTTGAAAACTTCTAGCTTTTCCTCACTGCGACTTTTTTGCTTAAACTCAAAGTAGATGGGTACTCTCTCTCTCCCTCTCTTGCCTCGAAGTTGAGTCAGAATGACGACGGCTAGCGATCACGTTTTCCCGTAAAATTTCGTGCAAATCACTTGAGATTGTACCTTTGGATTGATGATTCCTTAAGTACTGGGGGATGGTGTCGGCTAGTCATAAATCGGGATAGGGTACCCAAAAATAAATATTCAACTATCACAGTCCATGGCTGCCACTGTGTGCTTCCACTGTCCGAGTGATATGGCTGTACGCATGAATAAGGTACCGGCTATACGGCGGACTTAGTAGTGTGCTTTAGTGCTGAAATTGGTATATCTATACATGTACTTAGTGTAAAAGAAACATGTATTAAGAAAACCAGTTCAAACCATTTTCAATAATTGTTATCAGGTGTCAATTTCGTTTCTGGCCCTTAAAAAGAGTTTTAATTTGAGTTCCTCTATACGATGGTCGGGCCAGTGAGGAACCTTTTCGACAAACAATTATCCAAACCCTTCACCATCTCCACGGCCCCCACGCTCGCGTAGACGATTATATTTAGCCGAACGAGTGTGTTTCAAATTAAGTTCCCTGCTCCGTTGTCTTTTATGTTTTTCCCGGGGGGAGGTACTCCTGTATATGGGCTAGATAGTTATGTTCCGCCCGATAGGGTAGGGTAGGGTTTTTGAGGGTCTCCATCCTAAAAACAGGGTATCATTCTTGCCCTTGTTTGCGTTGTGCTCCCTTTGTGATCCTTAGAGAGTTATAGTGTACCATTTCTATATCAGCTAAGATTCAAGTGCGTAAATGCCCAGCTACACTAGAAGCAAATCATCTGTAACAGTGGACTTTACCTTAGAATATTGAAAAGAGATTAAAAGAAGATTTTTGTGTTTCCACTGATTTCTTACTTTTTGCTTTTCCCTTGAATCGAGACTCATTTTTCAGGTTTGGGCCTTAAATACTGTAGGGCATGAGTTTTCGTTTGTCATATCCGTAAATAGGGTCAGGTTTTAAGACTATCCGAAATTTATGGGAATACCCCCCGGGGCAGACTACAAGTGTAACAAAACAGATGTTCATTGTTTCGTATCAAGGCAAGGGGTCTCAAGGTATTATATCTATTCATCAGCGAACAATCTAGTATACTTTGCGCTCGTACGCTCCAATCTCAAAGATACTTTGCCCTCGGTGTCACAGCGGTACCAATTTGTTTGGTTTTGCTGTTTTTCGCCTATGTTGATGTGTGCGTTTATAGGGAATAACTTCGTAAATTATAAGCTTTACTGTATTAAATCGCAGTATCCAGCATTAGAAATGATCACAGGCAAAGGCGAGGTAATAGAAATCTAGAAAGTGCTAGGTTACTTCGCCCCACGCATGGTGGTCTGTTCTAATTTAAGGACGATGATTACAGGTGTGAATAAGTAATAAATGCCATGAAATGCATTTGTAGCAAAACTGATTAAGCAGATATAAGCCTTTTTATGACTAAACTTTATCTGATCTCGTAATATATTTCCCCGCTGCATGTATATATAAATGGTATATAAGGCTAAAAATTTCCAAAACGACGCGAGACAACTAAATATAATTTATAAAGAATCAAGAGAGAATGAGGAAGCTCATTCTCTCTTGTCAGAATGCATAAAAATAATTAGTAGGACAGAGGTGAGCTGCATGTTATGTATATAACTAAGGGACTGGGTCGTTAAACGTTCCAAACTGCAAGTGCGAAAAACAGAGACTACAGCGTTTTTACAGTATTAACAAAATATAAAATAAATTTGAAAGAATATAGTTAAAAGAGCTCGTGTTAGTGAAGTTTTTCTGTTGTTTTTGTGCGCCCCAGAGTGATTTACATAGAACTTTATTTTTTTCTTTTATTACCCCTTAAAGCAATCTTTTTTCGCCAACCAATAGAAAGTCTAAAATTAAAGTTTTACGTATGCTACTCTATAATAGTCCAGATTCTAGAAGACTATATAAAGTAAACACTTGTGAAAAAAATCGTCAATATTTTTTAAGTACTGGCCATTAGTCTTACGTCCAAATGTCTAGATAAGTTTGAATCTTTTGGTCGTATAGTACATAGAGCACCGGTATCAGACGAAGCATTGTTTTATGCGGTTTGGAGGGACACCTTTTAGGAAAGTCAACCTGAAAGAAGAATTTGTTTTTTAAACAAAATAATTTATTGACCTGCTATTCTTTAAAGAATGCTGTTTAAAATTTTGTGGATGTTGTTGGAGTGTCTGTCCTGGATTCCTGCGCAGGCCTCAAATGAAGGTTAGTTTATTCGAGTTGGAAGTTGAGTTAAAATTAAGGAAAAGTTGAAACCAAAGAAAATATAAATTAATAAGTTCAATCGCGTTCTCAGTCAAACGGATTTGTTTTTTAAAATTCTATAGTTCGTAAACAAGGTCCATAACTTTGACATAGAGCCACAAGTTGATTGCTTGGTTCTAAAAGAAATATTGATGTATAATACATAAAAAATTCTGTGGCTTTTATTTCTAAGTTTAACCCAGAAATGGTTTACCTCACTTAATCGTGCATAATCAGTGGAAATCCGTAAATATTTAATTTAAAACAAAGTGGTTTGTCATGTCACATTACCATAATATTCTTGTACATTTATTAAGTATTTAGTCGTAAAACCAACTAACGTCAAGATTGAAGATTACAAATGCTGCCGGGCGCTTTGCGACATCTGTAGATTCCCCTATGTGATCTGGTGACTTAATTGCGTTCGAGGTTCGAGAACGCAACCCCTAATTTGTCTTGGGTGTTCTGTGAATTATTGGTTGCCCTGTGCAAATAATGAGAGAGGTTTTTTCGAGATTGCATTTGTCGTCGTCGTCGACACACATTTGCCTCGCTTTGAGGCGCCTGCTTACGCTTTGCCTCACTTTGACAAACCAACTCACGTGGTGATTCGTGCGTCCTCGGCGTTCATCATTCAAGCGTTTGCTGAGGTCTTTTATTCTGCCTTCGTACAGCGTTCATCTTTTAAAAGTGAATCTTCGTAAAGCGAACATATTTCAAGAGTTTGCTTAAGGTCTACTCTCAATCAGTGTTTGCTGAATCTTTCAAAACGTTCAACTCAGTTTCAAAAGTTTCGGCGGCTGTTGTGCCACAAAGTAAATCTACAGAGTTGTGTAGCTGGGAGGCCGTTGTGCCACAAAGTAAATTTACCGAGATGTGAAGCTCGGCGGCGCCGTTTCATCATGACTTGTAATATTTTCGGCACCGGACAAACGAACATTTTAGGTCTATGTTATTCATGCTGAAAAACTTATAAGCAGCCCACAGTAGCTCCACTCAAGTCACTGAAATCAACACACTTGACCAAACTACTGCACTTATTGAGACGGACCAAAGCCTTCAAGCTTTTTAATAATGATACACACTTTAAATAGAGGTTTCGCTGTAAGCAATCCTTACACTTAAAATATGCTATATGATCGCTACGATCGTTGTGATCGCTGCGATCGAT